CTCAGTGCCGGAGAAAATACTGTAGATAAGCCATTTCCAACTATCTCAAATATGTAAGCATCTTCCTGTTCTAATAAATGATTTTCACTGTAAAATACTTGTCACCTTTGTCTCCTCCGCCACCACCAACGTACAAATGGACCCTAGACCATCACCGACACATGATTAACTGATTTTCCCTAAAAGCCAGCAAGCTTACAAATTTGACACAAAAACCCGTTAAGTTCGTTATTCGAGACAAATTTTTGCAAAATAAAAGTTCATTAACCGATTTGGTCGTTAACCAGGACGTTCGTTAACCAGGTTCCACTGTACTTTTTTTGTTCCATTAATTTATTTTGTTTTAAGTAAACAATGTAAATATAATTATTGCTTAATAAATTCTACTATTATGTAATTTATTTTAGAAGTATATTTTACAGATTTTTAACAATTTACATATTTGTCAGGAAAAATAATGAGTATATAAATAAGAATACATAAGTCTGAGGTTTATGGCTGAAAATAATTTTGTAAAAAAGATGTTTTATATTCAAAATATTAAAAATTTATATTAAATATTCATCTCAAAATAGAACTCTGTCTCAAGTATTTTCTAAGAATAAAAATATGAATTTAAACAAACTATATTTATTTTATAAATAAAAACAGCTAACTCTCGGTATTCATGATAATTAGGTTCTTTGGAAATTTTGCAAATAGAAAGGAAGTCCTATGAGAATATCAACTTAGGTTCCTGAGAGTCAAGCAATGTGGCTGAGCTAAAGCATGTTGCTGTCTCAGGAATATTTAAACTTTTACAGATAATTCAATAAACAAATAATAACAACTAATGTTTATTTTATTCATATGTTTAATTATATCAAAAACATTAATCTTACATTTTAAAACAATTGGGGGAGTCATTACAACAGTTTGAAAAAACTGAATTAATGTTGTTTGATGAACTGTTTTATTCCTGTCCTTTAAGACTTCAGTATATGGAAGCCAGGCTGCTTCCAAAACTTGCTTAAATTTGAGATGGTGCTCAGGACTAGATTGATTCTTGCAACTCCTTCAATCTGTCAATAGTGCAGTAAATTTCTGAAAGCTTGTAAGCTGTCATCAGCAGCTTTAGCATTTTTCTCCCCTGTTTACAATGTCCCACTATGCTAGTGTGAAAATTTTTATAACTATCAAGTGCATTTCCTCATTTGTGGGCTCTGCAGCTATCTGGTATAGTATGTTCTCAACATCTCCTGTGTACATTCCATAAACTTCTCATTGACTAGCTACTTTGCCATCTTTTACTGAATTATTATCATTACTAAATATTACTAGGTAGCACATGACCAGCTTACAACCAGTAATTGGTCTACAGACTTTACACACAAACTTTGACCCCAAATATCTCAGCTCATAAATCAAATTTCAAAATTCTGAATTCATCATGACCTTGGCCTTGTTGAGTTGTACACATGTGCAAAAAAAAAATCATGTTCAGAAATTGCACAGTTGCTTTAAACTTCAATTGCAAACAAAACACTTTCTGACTTATGCAGAGCTCCATTCAATTACACATGGAAGTACCTATTTACTGAATTTATTCTATTTACATAACTCTGATATAAACCTTTCTCGTGTATGATTTGGCAGAAGGCATTATTATTGTAATGCAGTTTGGTAGTACAGTAATTACTGTACTTTGCTTGGTTATGTCAAAAAGTTTAAAAATTAGAGATAACACAAAGTACATTTTTACAAGTACTGTAGTATGACAAAAATATCATAAAAGCAATTCGCAAATGTACAAACATTTTGCAAATAGTCATGTGTTTGGTCATAACTTTACAATCATAAATAGGAAAAAGGATGATTACCAAACACACAAATACCAAGAGTTACATCGTATATCTATATCTTGTAGATTTGAAAAAAGTGTAAGAAATAAACAATGCAGTTTAATAACTTAAAATAATGTAAAATAACTGAAAATTACATTCATAGTAATAATGAATTTCTGTAAAAAAACAAAAAATGCAAAGCACTTAATGCAAACTGAAGACAATCCAAATAATTTAGACTCAAATAGAGAATCAGAAAGTAACATATAAACAAATATTCTATCAACTGCTATTTATAACATGCAGAATAAAATGTGAAAGAAAAACTTTTCAAACAAAATCAAATGATGAAACAAAACACAACTGAATGCATTAATGTAAACAATCATCTGAACAAAAACATTACAATTTTACTCTTAAAAAATAAGTAATATTGCAATATACTAAAAAGTTTCAGAAAATGAGAAAAAATTAGCACAAATCAAAAATAGTAATAAAATTAAATCATAAAAAATTGATAAGTATACAAGTCTCAGAAAATACAAAACAATAAATTACTAAAAACTATAATGATTCTAATATGAATCCAATAATCCATTTAATGTTGACACTAATATCTATCCCATTGAAACTAATTAAGTAATTTATATATTAGTAAATTTTTATTAATGAAGAAATTCAGATAATGAGACAAACAACATACTGTACTATAATTAATAAAAAGAATGCAAGGAGAATAAAATTCTATCTTAAATACTTTTACCTATCATGTTTTGAAGTAAAAACATGATAGGTAAAAGTATTTAAGATAGAATAAAAATTGTAATTAATTCATGGAAAATACTGTAGCAATAATTATAAATTAACAAAAAATTATATCTTTTAATAACACATATGTATCAAAATACTTACTTTATGATCTGCCAATCCTAACCATGAAATAATATAGAAAAACACATGACTAAATCCATGGTGTTGATGTCCTTCTGCTGAGCTTCAGTTAAGATAATAACTTTTAATATTAAATAAAATACAGGGTAGGTAAAAAAGTCACTTAACACTCCTGCTATAGAATATAGAATGCACCTAAAGTTAATTCAATCATGTCAGGAACACATTAGACCGAGGGGAAACAGATTGATGCATATAACACATGGAGTTGCATTCAATTGCATTGGATGGCAGCCATTATGAATGCAACTCCAAAACTGTAAAAGGGAAGGGAGTCATGTGACACATCATTTAGGGTCAGACTTTCACAAGGAATTGATTGCTAGAAGATTTTATTTACCTACCTTAAATAGAGTTATGTACATTATATGATGTGCTCAATGTACACATTCTTTGGGTACATTCTATATTCTGTAGTAGGGGTTAACTGACCTTCTTTTCCATCCTATACTATAAAAAAACATTAATGACAAATTTTATTTAAAAAAAAATAAACAGAAATCATTTAAGAAATCAAATATCGTAGATATAGCTTTTAAAAAGAGACAGCATCCAAATTATCTATATCAACTTTTTGGAAACAACTATGTAATTAAATAATTCAAATGAAAATGTGAAGTATCATTTAATNTATAAAATTTAATTTTTCTTAAAGTTTATACTTTATTAATATACATATTTATTAAATTTAAAACATTTTTTTAAATAAACAATGACAACAAAAACAATATTTGTTTTAAAATACGGGTGTATGCCACTTAAATGATGGAGATCCCATAACATTATAACAGTGCTGAAAAATTTGTAGCCCATTTCTATCTTTGTACATTTAGATATGTATTTTACAGCATATAAGACATAATTTTTTCCCAAAAAAGGGCTAAAAAAATTGTCCTGCATCTTATATGTGAAGTTATCTTTGATGAATTTCCCAAACAGCCTTCAGTAGATTACAGATAATCTCTACTTATGCTAACTTTTGGATAAAAACATTAATGATAATATGTTTAATTAAATAATAACATTTTTACTCTTTGCTATAGCTAAGCAGCTTTTGTATGTATTCATGTAGAATATTTTAACGGTAAATTTTAATTGTAAATGACTTCTTAAACTCCTCTTTTTTCCTGGTAAATAAAAGTGTGCATTCTAATTTTACTTTCTTTGATATAGGATATACAGGATAATTTAAATTAAATACACTAAATATCTTTTACCTAAATATTCTATGCTGAACTAGGAATGTGTTATATGCCATAAAATATAGTAAATATTTATCATTGTGTTATATTTTATCTATATAAATAGTTGACTATATCATATAGATTTATTTAAGTATACTCTATAACAGGTGTGGCCAAACTTTTATCCCTTAGGGGCTACTTTTTTGGTAAAATATAGTCTGCGGGCAACTATGAATACGGGCAAACAATTTTAGGATTTTTATATACGCATGCATTAACATTCATTTGCATTGTTCATTGGGATAAATACAAACAGTATGGGTATGTTGCACAGACAGTCTATTATTGTAAGAATAAATTATCAAATTAAGATTTTTAAACATTAATTTAAGTGAAAGCAAATTGTTCAACTTTAGCTTTGCGGGCTACTTTCAAAACCTTTGCGGTCGACCGGTCGACCACGGTCTACGTGTTGGCCATCCCTGCTCTATGATGTTTGCTTAATGGTGAAGTCACTTAAAGACATATTTCTAGGAATGTATCCTCATCATTAAGCAGTGTATACTTGTATAGTTAATATATATGTAATGTTGAAATCTTCATTTATATCAATCTAAGAACTTTAAAAAACTTTATCATAAATATTACACTAGCTAGCTAAAGATTTTTGAGTTTTATATGTAAGGTTTGCTCTTGATAGTCTTAATTAATAAAAATATATCTATGAAAGATAACGTAGAGTTTTCAATTAAGCTTTTCATTGAATTAAGAAAAAAACTGTCATTTACAATTAAATACTATGCATGAAATATCAAATTTTTTTGTATTATATATTGTGATAATTAAATAAAACTAATTAAAATATTAAAATTATCTTTGTTATAAATTGAATATATTGTATTTCTTTGTATATATCAAATATTTTCAATTTTTATTTGATTATTATTTTTTTATTATAACCATGTAACTAATAGATATTTATACATGTAGCAAAATTAAATATTTTTATTATTCTAGTAATTTGCTAAACCACAATATTTACCAATAATCTTTCAGTAAGAATCTCTGGTGGATCAAATATTCGACTTAATGCTTCAGTAAAAACCATAAATGCAACAACTATTAAAAACAGTCCATTAATGAAACCTGATAAAACCTCAACTCTGCCAAACCTATTAAGAAATTAAAAAAATACATATAATTAGTTTAAAATGAATAATATTTTTAATGTAATAGGTATGCTTAAAAAATGAAATAATTCTAATTATTTTCCTATGTACTGGCAATTAAAATAAAGTAATATATTATGTTATAAATTTTTATTGATGATTTAACTTTGTAGAATAATTAAATTTTTCTTTAGTTAACAAATAAAAGACAAATAACTTTGACCTTTAAATGAAACATAATTCATTTCAGTGGTTTTGTTAAAAATAAGTTAATCATATTAATGGACACTAGAGAAATATATTCATTGTATATATAGTATCTTATAAATATTCATGTAAAAATGTCATTTCTTAACTATAATTAAGGAAGTATTGATTTGAAAACTTTTTTAATTCTAACTTTAAAAACAATGAGGTCAATTAGTCAAATGAGAGCAACTGCAAACTAAATTTACAATAAATTTTAAAAGTTTTGGTTAAAAAACTGTTCATTTGACTTTGACATCTTAATAAAAAAAAATTTAATTTTTATACACAGGGGGGGTGCAAAAATAGGTATACAGTTGAGAATCTGAGAAATATAAATGTTTGGTGTTAATTATTATTATTTTTATTATCTTTTATTAGTTTGTATTCCTTATTTATTTGTGATTTAATTTGTACATAAAAATAAATGCTTTTTCTTCCTATTTTCTCCCTGTATGTTTTTTCCCATAATAACAACTGTATATCTACTTTTGCACTTCCCTGTATTTGCACTGAAAATATATTTAAATGCTAATTACATGAAATAAAAGTAATCTTAAAATCAAGTTATCTTAGGTAAGATTTAAGATTTTCTATAAGAATTATTCATATGATACAATATATCATTTATAATAAATTTAAGTACCATAAGATTGTAATTAAACTATCTGTATTCAAAGCTGTTTAGAGAGTTGTTTAGCAGTCAAAATGCAATAAAGTTTGGTATGATAGGATTTCAGAACATGCAGAAAACATTTCCATACAATAAAATTAATACTAAAACAATAAATACGTAAATGTTCACTCATAAAATTAAAGAAGCCAGAAAATATCATTAGAAAAATAAACGTCTTTCAGAAACTTTTTAGTTTTATCTGCAGAACGACTAAAATTGTTCTATAGGAAAGCATTCAACTAGAAACATTTCATTTTAACAAATTTTTTAAATGTTTGAATATATAAATCCTTCAGCTGGCTGATAACAGCTAGTGTTGAGTATTGGAGTAGGCCTCTGCATGGTTTATTTTGCTGTAGTACACTCTCATTCATTATGTTTGAAAGTGCCTATGGGTATGTTTTTATATTCAATGATTAGTTCAATGGTGAGAAAACATTTCTAAATGGACTGTTGAGTTGTCTGTTGAAGCTTGTGATGTCAACTTTGGTTCACCATTGAGCTCAACAATCTCAATGACCTGAAAGACCAATGAGTATTCAACAAATTAACATGGTGGCTTCCATAAAACAAGTAAATTTCACTTATACAAATTATCAATCTACTCTTGCTGTGGACACTGTAATATGATTAATGAATGATCTGTATAAGGTAAAACATATGATTGCACAATTATGTTAGATAATTTGGTCAATATTGAAATTTTAAACTTTTTTCAGAGACAAACTACTTCCATGAATTCATCCAAAATTTGATTAGGACTGATATTTGGCTCTCTTTACAGCTTCCTAATGATAGAAATATTCAGAAAATTCAAAATATTGAAGAAAGACCAGTATAGAAGAAATTGATACAGGTAAGGGTTCATTTGAAATTGTCCTCTCAATGCAAACATTTCTTTTTTCTACAAAACATGATATCAAATCATTCAACAGAGAACTGACCATTAATATAAGTGTTGAATTTAGAAACATATGTTTAAGAGCTGAGATCATCTACTTTTAAGGTAGTTTTGTTAATTGAATTTCCGTCTAAAAACCGTTAGAACCTGGTGCACAGCCCAGAAGAAGTTTGAAAACATTCATTTTTTTGATGTTTTTCGATGTTACTACACCATAAATTGGTTCCGTGTGCATAATTTTTTATATTTTAAGGTATTGTTTACCTCATATTTGTAGCTCTTGTTAACTCTTCTGCTGTTCTGAGCAATAGGAATTCAGATGTAAGCATTTGCATATGGTCCCAGTATATTTAAATCTCTGGCTCTGGCTGCTTGGACCAAGTTGTAGCAACACCTCTCATGATATCTTTTCTATACTTGTTTAGTTTGGTGTTCAACTGTTGAATAGTAGGAACTTACTCATAGTATTGATGAAAATTATAAGCCTATTAGTAGCATTATGAGTAAAAATATAAGAATTAATTTTGAAGTGATTAAAATTTTTCAAATTAAACAAAGTCTAAATTAATAAAGCCAAACAATTGCTAGATTAGATTGGGCTTTAATATCACTATGGTGTTTATAGATGTTTTATATTTGTCTAAATTAATCTAGCAAATTACTTTACAACATTAATGAAAATCTTAAATATTGCAATTAATAGTAAGATGCAAAATATCCAAAGATAAAATTTGTTATAAAACTTGTCATCATCATACATAATCCATTAACAATAAATCTTTAGATTACTTCATATGATCAAAGTAATTCAGAATATATTAAAATTTCAAGTCATTACTAAACACTTTTTGGCAAAAACAGTATGCACTCAAATCATATCTCAAAAATGTAAATGTTCTATCGGCTTTCAATTTACACTTCCTTTTTTATTATTTATTTCTTACCTAATGGCATTTATCCCATTGATAAGGAAATTGTTATTTCCAACAAGGTAAAATTGTTTAAGCTAACTTCAGAGACAGTAAACAACATTACTTCATTGTTGAACTTGAACTGTTGACCACCAAAAATTATTTCAGTGCTTCAAACAGATGATAATCACTTGGTGAGAGATCGAGATTATATAAATTGGGTATCCTAAAATTTCCCAGGATGAATATTGAGATCAGTTTCACAAAAATCTGTTTGCCACAATATTTTGTGAAAGAAAGTATTATTTTTTGGGTCTTTGCTTATCTTTTTTTGGAATATTTTTTCAGTGTTGTAGGCAGTAAACTGCTGTAATATTCAGAATAATAGTAATTGCACGCTCCATGAAATTAATACTTATCACATCATGATATCAGAACATTGTCAGAATCACATTTCCACTCTGCTTTTTCTGACAAAAAAATTTTTCTTGTCTTGAACTTCTAACAACATTCTTACAGAAGATATTATTACCTAACTTTTATGTTTATCTTTTAAATATTTAACTAGTTTGACACTGTTTCACAAAGAATTAAATGACACATCATTGCTTGATCCTGTATAAAATGCTTGTTATCACCATTCCAGTACTTTTTATATTATGCACAACAATCCTGTTATTGATTAATAGAGAAAATGTTTAGGATGATCTAGGAAGAAGAGAAAAATTCAATTTCTTGCCATTTCCAAGTGTGTCAAGTGAAATTCCAGTTATAGTTGAATCATTCTCATAGTTATTTAAAATGACTTTTACAAACCATCATTAAAAAACTTATACTATACTAGTGTACATTCCATTCATTGAAAGTTATAATTCTAAGAAAGATTATTCTTTATCAAAAATATTTGTAAAATTTAATAAAGAAATCCTAGACTTCTGTTTCATGTATTAATTTTTAAATCTTACAGTTTGTAATCAGTTTTAGTGATATTTTAGTGCATATTTCATTACATGTTCAAAAAAATTGTTTGAAAAACTCAATTCCAATTTAAATTCTCATCATTAAAATTAGTATTTCATAAATTAAAACATGTATTAAAAAATAAACTTCAAAAAGAAAATCTTACCCATAAGGATAAGTTTTTGTTGCCTTTTTTCTGGCAAGAATTGATGCACAGAGTCCCATTACTAAAGCTGAACAATCAAATAACATATGAAATCCATCTGAAATTAATCCTAAACTATTGGTCCAAATACCATAAATCATTTCTACAAAAGTAAATGCCTGAAAAACAAATAAATGCATATTAAATATTTATTATTAAAATTAAGTATTTTGCATTTAGTTATGTTTGCAAAAAGATTTATTTTTAAATTAAAAATAAACTTGCCTAAGTTTTATCTTCTATCAAATCCACAGAATAAATTAAACAAATCTGACTGCTAAGTTATGGTACCTATCATTTTTACTTACAATAAAATGTTCTCTGAGATCAATCTCTCATTCCTATATACCATATTGGCATTCTAAAGCCCTCGGTTTAAAATTCTATCCCCTTGTTCCATTGGGTCATTTAAATGAGTTGTTTAAAGTGTCTTAAGAGTAAATCATTATAAGTATTACAATTAAATTTAATTAATTTAAAAATAAATCTAATAATCGTTTTTTAGAAAAATACCTTGTAAACTTTCTCTAAATTTGATAAGCAAGTCAGCATTTGACTCTTGTTTGTATTTGATAAAATACTTAAACACTTTAAAACTATTTTCAAAAAGTGAATATAATTAATAAATTGAAAATATTTAAAAACTTGAAAACTAACCAAATTTAAACAAAGAAAATAAAATATCTTCCTTGAATCTGATTCTTCTAGTATTTGCACCAAACTACTCTTTACAATGAGTAGGAACGATTGAGAGGTACGATGTAAAGTATCTCCAGTAAACGTATAAAGAGGCAATCCAGCAGACGAATAACCAACAAAAGTGCCTTTGGATCCTCCAGTGGCTGGAGATGTCAAAATCAATGTAGCTAAAATATAAAAGAGTTACTCATTTAAACATTTTTAAAAAATATAAACATTGATTTAGAAAATTTTTATAGATGGTAAACAATGCTTTTGTTACAAAAATATTGATTAAATCTCATCATCTAAATATAATGCAAAATACCTTTCATTAATTATTAAGGAAGTGATGCTTACAGATAATGTAAATTACACTAAAATATTCAAATATAATACAAAGTCATTATATTGCAAATCTGAATCCTAGTAGTCCAAAACTCTGGTTAATCCAAACAGAAAAAAAGAGCATATTGCAAATGCCAATGATGAGTAAAATTTTCATTAAGTCCAACACCACTTGACTTCTGACACATGACTATCTCCCCACTTCTTTGTGTTCTGTATTACAAAGTTTAATAGCATTAATTCCCCTTATATACAAGTTACTGTGCCAAATTTTGTTTCTTAATCTTTACCCCATCCTGATATATTAAACAAAATAGATGCCAACACAGCTACATACATGTGCACATGCACAGAACTTGTTCCCCAAGGGGTTCAAGGGATTTCAAAACATTGAGCCTTGTAAAAAAAACCCCGAGGATCAAATTTGACATGTTTACAATACTTTCTCATGTTATATTATAACAGCTGGAAAAGTAAAAAGTTAGATCTCTCTCCAAGCAAAATATATGGCTGTCATGCTCACCTTGCACCACTCAGGACAGACAATGTGTACAAACTCTCAAAATAATTTTAAAATTTTGTTATTACAATAGAAAACAAAGGCTAGTCTCCTATTTTGTCCATTCTATTTGGTCATATACTTTCTAACAGAAAGATGTTGAAACCTACCACATATGTGAACAGAAGTTATCATTTTCAAAAAACTGATTGGTATCAGTCAATCAGTCATCCTGACATAATAAGATCTCATCCAACTACAAAATATTGATAAATCTCGTATTAACATAAAAAAATACAATAAAAAATCTTGAATAATACAAAACACTCACTAATCTGAACAGGTTCAGGCTTCAATTAGTTCAGATTAGCAAGATTCTGCTGTATAATTAAATTATTAAAATATACTGCTTTCATATTTTCATTTGACATACTTAATAAATTACAGGAATAAAATAAGACTCCTGTTTTATACAGAAATCTTATTTTCAAAATAATAATATCATTACCATTAGTTCAATAAAATTTTCAGTGAATCACAAGCAACTGGAACATCCTTGAGAAATTAATACCATCAATATTCCAGAATATCTAATGTAATTTAATGTAGACTAATATTTTCTACTATTCTTTAATGTCCATTCAAGGTTGAGTTTATCTGAAGAAGCCAATTAAGAAATGTTAGTCTGTATTAAATTAAGTTAGATTTTGCTGGAATCGGGTGTTAATTTATTCTCAAAAACTAATTTTATGTAAAGAATTGCTTTCTACAATATTATATACAAAACATTGCATATTATTCTCTCCATTGTTGGCATTCTATATATACATAATGAAGTGTAGACTTGAAAATGCATCCTTGAAAACTATACATATTATATATGTAACAAACAAGTAATACTTTTCAGATTTACAAAAGATTTTATATTTTAATAACTGAGATCAAAATGCTAAAATGTTATAAAGTTGTTTTACAATTATAATAAGGCTTTACTGATAGAACATTAAGAAATTTATTTGATTTATCTGTCTATAAATCAATAAGATTTGGAATTAAATCAAGTAATTATTCTAAGTTTCAAGAATTAAATCAAATAATTACTACTAAGATAGCAATGATACAAATGTTTTGAAAAATATTTCAATTTCTTTATGAAGAAAAGTCTAAAATTTCATGAAGATAACTTTTACTATTTTAATGTAATATAATTCAGAAAGTAAATATATTCTTTCTTATAAAGATATAAAACAAAAAGCACATTGCATTAAAGTGAAAAAATTTTATTATAAAAATTTACATAATTTCTATAAATAAACTATTTTCTGTAAAATAATAATATTCATATGAGGTTAAACAATGATAATCCTAATTTTTTTAATTTTGTATTAAGAAATATTTAATTTATAATATAAAATAAATATTACTTACCTAATACAAACATAATCCAGCTAAATATCACACCACCAGAGAGAGCATGCTCATTTTCTATATTTATTATATTTTTAGCAGACCAACTATATGTAATTATTCCATTTCCTGATACAGTGCTGAATAGAAGAGCTGACAAAAACACAGCAATGGAACCATACTTTGCGCAACATAATGCTTCTAAACGTACGGTACACATGGATTCAACATAATAATCAATAACTAATAACAGAACAGAAGACACTAATGTTGGTATGATAATTTGTACAATAGATATAGACTGCAGCTGAAATATAAGTCATTTTTAAAAAACATTCTTTTTTTTTTTAAATTTGATGACATTATACTTACTTGAGAAGTAAAACAAAGTACTATTGCCCATGGAATTAACAAAACTACAGAAACAAGTGAAGAAAGAGCATTTAGTCTTTTTGCTCCTCCAATATCCACTGATAATCGTCTTGCTGCACTATTAAAACCAGTTTGAAGACAAACAACCAATACTAGTAATAAAACACCACCCTAAAATTAGAAATATATTATTAATGAATAGTTTATGGTTTATAACATGACTTCTTAAACTTTTTTTATTCACGACCCCATTTATGATTGTGATTTTTTTCGCGACCCAAAAATATAAAATAAAGATATATACAAATTTGCAAAAACAATAATGGTGTACTACCACAGTTCACTCTTGTGTTACAATGGAACAGAGACAACTGAATACACTGAAAAGCAACAACGCTACACTAGTTTACACTACAGTGTTACTGAATTGTTGTCTCGCTGCACCAGAAGTGACACAAAACGCAACTCACAAAACCTATGACACAAAGCGTGCCATTTTCAAACTCTCACAAATTATTTTCAATATTTTGCATTAAAATCTCACGACCCCAAGATTTCGCTATATGTAATTATTCCATTTCCTGATACAGTGCTGAATAGAAGAGCTGACAAAAACACAGCAATGGAACCATACTTTGTGCAACATAATGCTTCTAAATGTACGGTACACATGGTTTCAATATTGGAGCAAAATTGGGTCCCGAAAACGGGAAATTGACCCCATTACGGGTCGTGACCCATAGTTTAAGAAGCCCTGGTTTATAACATTCATAGAATCATTCATAAATTATTATTTTCAATACTTTCATCTGATATCCAGTTGTTGTGTATCTTAAGTCATATCTATACTTGAAAAAAATTCTAAATTGAAGATGTCAATTGCAAAAAAAAATGTTACAGAAAATTTGCTTATCAATACAATACAATACAAATCTCAACTTCTTTCGTTAAATTACCAAAAAATCAAAATGAACTATTTACAAATAAACCAACAATACTAGCAAAAACAAATTTTGATGCTTATTAATGCTACTATTTGAAATTACTGTAATCATGTTAATGATTATATGAGAAGTATATCATACACAAATCAACAGAGTAACTGTTTGAGCTTCATCTCCCATCTGCATTCAAACATCTTGTTGTCTACTACCACTAGAAGAACCATAAACAAAAATGGCAACCTGAAATAGAGAAGACATTTTGTATTCTGCAGTTTGCAAAGTTGGAATCATTCACCATTGTGCAACATAAGTAATCTGATGGAGCTGTAGAATTATGGCTGCTGTAGGAGGAGTGACAATGGATATGCTGTAGTAAGTATAGGAAGAATTTGAGTTTCAGTTGGATGTGTGCTATGTGACATGAGATGCACACATTGAGAAGTTGTAATAGGAAGATGTAAAATTTGGACAGTTTCCAATGTTTTAAGGTAATACAATGAGAGATAATAACTACAATAATTTAAAATTATAGCATTCATTTTGGAAGATCCTGAATATCAAGGAGTCTTCAAATAAGCAAAAACTGAAGATATTTATTTCTACTTAATGTAATTTGGTTGCTGTTTATTCAATTTCTATATATAACGCCCCTTTAATCCAAAAAAAACTTGTTTTCTAACCAGAAATGCTGTGAGACCATCTACCAAACAAGTTTTTTTGGATTAAAGGAACATTATATCTAGAAATATTTATTTCTAGGTTAAAAATGTTTTTGCTATATCGTCAAATTTTTTTTGCAATTAATCAAATTCAATTCATAAAAATGAAAACATATTTGCAAAAAAGTAAAAATAAAATACAGTGGAATCCCGGTTAACGAACATACTCTGTTCCACGAGTCCGTTCATTAACCGAAGCAAATTTTCCCATAGAAATTAATGCAAATACAATTAATCCATTCTAGCCGTCAGTATTTTTGTAATTTTATTTGTAAAATGGGTTTTCTTTAATGAAAATATAGGAAAACGTGCTCATAAACAGTCGATCTAGGTTAAATTTTTGGAAAATGGGAAGATTTGATGGGTATAAAAACATCACATATGATCATTAAAGTTCTAAAATGACAGATAGCAGAAACAATAGGCTAAATTATAAGAGAAAGGCTTATAGGTTTATCAACAATCTCTGATCAGAGTTGACAAACGGGTGTCAAATAAACGCCTCTGAACAAACCTTTCTTGGGACCTGATCTGGTTTCAATTTTCACCTGGAGACAAAGAAGAAAACAATCAGGAAGCAAGGACTAATCGTAAGGTGAGATTCAAGGAAAAAATACTATAAAAACCCCGAATCTCAAGGTCAAAACGCAGTTTCCTAAAAATTCTATGGTGAAATCTGTGTCGTCTTCATCTGGATTAAGCCTGAAGTCGTGCCCACTAAAATTTGTGTTGTGTCTCGCAAACCGCTCCAGTCGTTGCAGCTCTGTCACCTACCATCACTTCTGTGACCAAGTGAACCCATCTCGTCCGCTCTGGGGCTACAACTGATCAGCTTGCACTATTGTAGGACCAGCGATATGCCACTCCTCAGTGCCGGAGAAAATACTGTAGATAAGCCATTTCCAACTATCTCAAATATGTAAGCATCTTCCTGTTCTAATAAATGATTTTCACTGTAAAATACTTGTCACCTTTGTCTCCTCCGCCACCACCAACGTACAAATGGACCCTAGACCATCACCGACACATGATTAACTGATTTTCCCTAAAAGCCAGCAAGCTTACAAATTTGACACAAAAACCCGTTAAGTTCGTTATTCGAGACAAATTTTTGCAAAATAAAAGTTCATTAACCGATTTGGTCGTTAACCAGGACGTTCGTTAACCAGGTTCCACTGTACTTTTTTTGTTCCATTAATTTATTTTGTTTTAAGTAAACAATGTAAATATAATTATTGCTTAATAAATTCTACTATTATGTAATTTATTTTAGAAGTATATTTTACAGATTTTTAACAATTTACATATTTGTCAGGAAAAATAATGAGTATATAAATAAGAATACATAAGTCTGAGGTTTATGGCTGAAAATAATTTTGTAAAAAAGATGTTTTATATTCAAAATATTAAAAATTTATATTAAATATTCATCTCAAAATAGAACTCTGTCTCAAGTATTTTCTAAGAATAAAAATATGAATTTAAACAAACTATATTTATTTTATAAATAAAAACAGCTAACTCTCGGTATTCATGATAATTAGGTTCTTTGGAAATTTTGCAAATAGAAAGGAAGTCCTATGAGAATATCAACTTAGGTTCCTGAGAGTCAAGCAATGTGGCTGAGCTAAAGCATGTTGCTGTCTCAGGAATATTTAAACTTTTACAGATAATTCAATAAACAAATAATAACAACTAATGTTTATTTTATTCATATGTTTAATTATATCAAAAACATTAATCTTACATTTTAAAACAATTGGGGAAGTCATTACAACAGTTTGAAAAAACTGAATTAATGTTGTTTGATGAACTGTTTTATTCCTGTCCTTTAAGACTTCAGTATATGGAAGCCAGGCTGCTTCCAAAACTTGCTTAAATTTGAGATGGTGCTCAGGACTAGATTGATTCTTGCAACTCCTTCAATCTGTCAATAGTGCAGTAAATTTCTGAAAGCTTGTAAGCTGTCATCAGCAGCTTTAGCATTTTTCTCCCCTGTTTACAATGTCCCACTATGCTAGTGTGAAAATTTTTATAACTATCAAGTGCATTTCCTCATTTGTGGGCTCTGCAGCTATCTGGTATAGTATGTTCTCAACATCTCCTGTGTACATTCCATAAACTTCTCATTGACTAGCTACTTTGCCATCTTTTACTGAATTATTATCATTACTAAATATTACTAGGTAGCACATGACCAGCTTACAACCAGTAATTGGTCTACAGACTTTACACACAAACTTTGACCCCAAATATCTCAGCTCATAAATCAAATTTCAAAATTCTGAATTCATCATGACCTTGGCCTTGTTGAGTTGTACACATGTGCAAAAAAAAAATCATGTTCAGAAATTGCACAGTTGCTTTAAACTTCAATTGCAAACAAAACACTTTCTGACTTATGCAGAGCTCCATTCAATTACACATGGAAGTACCTATTTACTGAATTTATTCTATTTACATAACTCTGATATAAACCTTTCTCGTGTATGATTTGGCAGAAGGCATTATTATTGTAATGCAGTTTGGTAGTACAGTAATTACTGTATTTTGCTTGGTTATGTCAAAAAGTTTAAAAATTAGAGATAACACAAAGTACATTTTTACAAGTACTGTAGTATGACAAAAATATCATAAAAGCAATTCGCAAATGTACAAACATTTTGCAAATAGTCATGTGTTTGGTCATAACTTTACAATCATAAATAGGAAAAAGGATGATTACCAAACACACAAATACCAAGAGTTACATCGTATATCTATATCTTGTAGATTTGAAAAAAGTGTAAGAAATAAACAATGCAGTTTAATAACTTAAAATAATGTAAAATAACTGAAAATTACATTCATAGTAATAATGAATTTCTGTAAAAAAACAAAAAATGCAAAGCACTTAATGCAAACTGAAGACAATCCAAATAATTTAGACTCAAATAGAGAATCAGAAAGTAACATATAAACAAATATTCTATCAACTGCTATTTATAACATGCAGAATAAAATGTGAAAGAAAAACTTTTCAAACAAAATCAAATGATGAAACAAAACACAACTGAATGCATTAATGTAAACAATCATCTGAACAAAAACATTACAATTTTACTCTTAAAAAATAAGTAATATTGCAATATACTAAAAAGTTTCAGAAAATGAGAAAAAATTAGCACAAATCAAAAATAGTAATAAAATTAAATCATAAAAAATTGATAAGTATACAAGTCTCAGAAAATACAAAACAATAAATTACTAAAAACTATAATGATTCTAATATGAATCCAATAATCCATTTAATGTTGACACTAATATCTATCCCATTGAAACTAATTAAGTAATTTATATATTAGTAAATTTTTATTAATGAAGAAATTCAGATAATGAGACAAACAACATACTGTACTATAATTAATAAAAAGAATGCAAGGAGAATAAAATTCTATCTTAAATACTTTTACCTATCATGTTTTGAAGTAAAAACATGATAGGTAAAAGTATTTAAGATAGAATAAAAATTGTAATTAATTCATGGAAAATACTGTAGCAATAATTATAAATTAACAAAAAATTATATCTTTTAATAACACATATGTATCAAAATACTTACTTTATGATCTGCCAATCCTAACCATGAAATAATATAGAAAAACACATGACTAAATCCATGGTGTTGATGTCCTTCTGCTGAGCTTCAGTTAAGATAATAACTTTTAATATTAAATAAAATACAGGGTAGGTAAAAAAGTCACTTAACACTCCTGCTATAGAATATAGAATGCACCTAAAGTTAATTCAATCATGTCAGGAACACATTAGACCGAGGGGAAACAGATTGATGCATATAACACATGGAGTTGCATTCAATTGCATTGGATGGCAGCCATTATGAATGCAACTCCAAAACTGTAAAAGGGAAGGGAGTCATGTGACACATCATTTAGGGTCAGACTTTCACAAGGAATTGATTGCTAGAAGATTTTATTTACCTACCTTAAATAGAGTTATGTACATTATATGATGTGCTCAATGTACACATTCTTTGGGTACATTCTATATTCTGTAGTAGGGGTTAACTGACCTTCTTTTCCATCCTATACTATAAAAAAACATTAATGACAAATTTTATTTAAAAAAAAATAAACAGAAATCATTTAAGAAATCAAATATCGTAGATATAGCTTTTAAAAAGAGACAGCATCCAAATTATCTATATCAACTTTTTGGAAACAACTATGTAATTAAATAATTCAAATGAAAATGTGAAGTATTATTTAATGTAGTTTATTTAAATATCTACACTTCAACAGATTTTAAATAAAAGCAAGAAAAATAAATTTACTCAAAATAATAAAACTGTTTTAAAATGAGTAATTATTTTTTTTTATTATATAAGAATTGTTTTTATACAATATTTAAATAAAAAGTTTAAGACAAATAAATAAACAAATGTTATTTAAAATTTATATTACATGCAAATTTATAACTTTCTTTTAGAATATTTTATCTTCAAACAAGAAAAAATTTTACTTGCATAGTAATAATTTGGTTTTGATGGAATACAGCAACACAATACAAAGGAAATCTGCCAAGAGAAGTCTCTCCCAAGAAACGTTTTCTATGGAAAACTGTCCTCTATTTAGTTGTAGCATAGAAGAAAACCCAGAAAACTCTGAGTGATCAGCCTGTATGCCAAGTGCAAATCCAAAACCAACTATCAACATTCAGTGGTTTGCATAGGAGTAAAATATATTTTATCTTTGTAATTATTAGATTTTCAGCAATAATTGAAAATAATATATACTTTTAAACTTGAAAATTATAAATAATGTATCTTTCAAGCATCAAATTAAGATTTAAACATATGGTACATTAAATCAAGTTTATATTCATATTATAGAAAGGATACGATGTTCAGTTGGTTCAGTGTTATTGTCATCGTGATCAAGAAACAAAAGTGCTAAAATTCCAATTAGCAAACATACGGCACCTCGAAACTACATTTAAAATATAAGGTTATATATTAAATTGTATACAAAAAGAAATAATACTTATTAAAAAAGCAATCAAAAAATAATAATAAATTTGTTGATGTGTTAACATAGTAAATCATTACTATTATTCCCATAATAGTATTCTAATGGAGAAAGAGTATTTTCATGCATTAAATTACCTTAAAATTCTCTTATTTGAATTATTTTAGATTATAGAAATGGTTGCCACCATATTTAAAGAAAATAATGCACTTAAAACTGCATATAAAACTAAATTTTCTTTCAATCTATTCCAAACAGAATTTACACACACACACAATAATTTCAAAATGCATAATTATATGATATAACATATTTTACAGACCTTTGAATGACCACCTGCTCCCATAAAAAGTGCACTGATACCAGAAATAATAATAAAATCTTTATGTTCTACTAAAAGAATTGTTCTTAATGGGCCACACTGAGTCAATCCAAATAGCCATAATAAAAGCAGCATTGAATTAATAGTAGCATGACGAATAATTCTTATCCACTAGAAAATAAAAATTGTAAATATTTTAAATACCTTATACAAGTAATATTAAGTATATAAATCAAAAATAACAAAACATTAGATATTTTTGTAATCTTTTAGTAACCAAGGCAAATTATATGCAGAAAAGCCACCACACACTTTAATACAATATACGGTGTACCAAAAGAAAATGTATACATATTTTATTAACCCACAATATTTTTTTCTTTGGGTAAAAATTGCATTAGAAATGAATAATCTAGTCTTTATTTTAATATTTACTCTAAATTATAAAATTAAAATAAACATAAAAGTGAGTAACAACCAAATTGTGTTTACATTTTTTTTTTAGGATATCCTGTATTATTTTAATGTATTTTTTCTTATATCTAATGATTTTTAACATAGCAAGTATTATAAAATATTATAAAAATATTCAGAAAATAAAATTTACAAAAATATTTATTTATTTAGGAATGTAACTTCNATTTTGTCTCATTTGCTGCTACTTTTTTCCAATATGAAGATTACAATAATTTATGCTCAATTGGAGAATGAGACAGGACATGGTTTACCCTTGTATAAAATAGTGTAGAAATCTACTTATAAAGTCAGCTAGTTATCAAAGACAAATATGGATTAGGTGGAAAATATATATATATATTTCTGTAAATATATAATTTCTTAATCATTTCACTTACATTTTTTTCAGTGGAACCATTACAAATAATATAATGCTATACATTTTGAAACTGCTATTCGACTGATAGCAGTTTCAAATCATAAACATGATTTACAAATCTAAATCTTCCCAAAGCTGGTTATACACTATTAAATAACGAAACAGTGGTGCAAGATTTAGCAGAAAATTATATTAAAAGAATGAATGATCACATCACTTCCAATCTTAACAGGGGTAATAGTAAGGGTTTAGAGCAGTGGTAGTCAACCTGGTCCCTACCGCCCACTAGTGGACAATTTGAGCTTTCATAGTGTAGGGGTTTTGTCCAATGCCGAAGCTACTTTCTGTTATCACTGCGCATCTATGACTCATTGACAGAGCAGGTTGTATGTAACAGTGGCCATTGCTCCAGTTAAACTCATTTTGTAGTGGGGTTGGTGTTGCCAGATTTAGCTACTTTTTTCAGTTTGATGTAAAAAAACATACTTGTGCACTGACAAAAAAATTTCTGTGTTATAAACATATGCAAAATATAAATAAAAAGATAAATTTAACTAACATATATATTCCGGCGTATAAGACGACTTTTTAACCCAGGAAAATCTTCTCAAAAGTCGGGGTCGTCTTATAGGGCGAGTATATCCCAAACTCTATATTTTAACTGGAAAAGTCGGGGGTCATCTTATACGCTGGAATATACAGTACATATTTTTACTAAACCGTCAATCAAAAATTACAAGTACTTTGCAGTTGCGCTAAATTAACTTACTGCAGAACTGGTGGGTGGTTAGAAAATTTTACTACCAACAAGATACAGAAGTGTGTGGTAAGTATAAAAAGGTTGACTATCACCTGGTTTAGAGTGTAGTGTGTAGACAAACAAATACTAATTAATTATGACCAAAGAATAAAGGCTTTATACAAAGAAATTGCTACTAATAGAGGGTGGGGGATAACTTACAGTTCGTAAGTTATTAAGAAATGGCAAACATGCCATTAACACCAACAATGCACCAGGGGAGTATATAGTTTACCTGTGAGAAATAACAGATTTCACAGAGATCTATTGTACATTGATTCAACCAAGAGGTCCTTTAAAAAATGGCTGGCTAAGCATAAATATGATATACAAAACAAAAAGCTGATCACCACCCTAGCAATATACGCTTCTAACACTGATGTGGAAGCTAATCTACAGCAAGCCAATCTCATTAGAAGCATCCTTCAAACCGATCAAATCAAAATTTTAGCTCTTGAAATTTTTAAGCTGAACTAAAAGGGGAATGTATCAATTTTAATGAGGAAGCGAACATCTCAGATACTTGATAGTCATTTTTCGACGATCCCAATAACATTAATAAAAAATAAAAAATCAAATAATTCACTTAATTAAGATTTGCAACAAATATATTCATTAATTTGTATGTTAATTGTTATTTTAATTTTAATGTTAACATTAAGGTGTGATCTTTATACTTATTCTAATATTTAATGTTCTGGTGGTTTTAAAATATTTAAATTCAATCTTTTAGCATTCTAATTCTATCTAAATAATCAATGATAAAACATCTTGATAAATCTTGTAAACTTGATTTAATGTAATAAATTTTTTTCATAATTTGTCTGTAAATAAATTATGAAAAGCATTTCTTACATTAAACTAAAGATAGTTAAATTAAGTCTTAAAATAATAAATTATACCAAATAATGTAGTAAAAATAAATAGCAATTTATCCCAAATAATATCAACTTACAAAAAATAAGTTAAATAATTTAAAATTAATCTACCTTGGTATGGTGTTATACAAGGTGTACTGTTTCTTTTGTGAGCATATATAATGAGTAACCAAAGGATGTTCCACACATTTCATTGAAAATATATGCATCAGCAATGTCTGATAATATGAAACTTTCAAAATAACACATTAACATGCTGTTGCTCTATCATTTCAAAAGTGGCAACAATGCAATGAATACTCACAATCAGTACGTTTCTATATTCAACAGTTGACTCAACAGTGAATTTTCTGTTGAGTCCCACCGTTGAACGATCTGACGTCACGTTTTGCAGAAAAAAGAAACGCTTTCGTTGAGAGGTCGCTTTTCAAGATGGCTGACTTAAGTAACGAGGTGGCGATTTGACTGTTTTGCTAAATGATTAAAGTAACTCGCTTAACCATTATTCGAATAAATCCTTTTATTCAAATGAACCCATATCTGTATCATTTTTTTGTATACCGGGTCTTTCTTTAATAATTTTAATTAATTTCTTGAATATTTATATCATTAGGAAGACTTAG